CGGCATCCTATTTGACTTTAGGCCTATTTTACAAGAGCACAAAGATTTGTTTTTATTGTGAATGTACACAAATAAAGGCAAACCTTTTACAATTCCGATTATCTTTATGACTAAAAGGAGTAGCTGCTTCCACTGTTAGAAGGGAAAAAAAATTCAAGTGATTGCGCTGGCGCCGCATGCGCGCACACAGTTAAGCATTGCTACCTTGACAATGCAGCCTGTTCATTATCATAATAAAATACAGTCAGTCAAACGTATGGAAAAAACACACTGCTCAGTTTAAAGCGTTATCACCGTACCGCCGTGATGTTATGTAAAACATTTTGTTTTATGTGGATATTGGAACGCGAGTGAAGTACATAATAAATAAAATTTTGGCATTCAAATACATCGCGAATAAGGAAACATTTGATTTTGTGTTGAATGAGAGACCCAACGTTGGCTTCAGTTTCGTTTTAGCCCAAACGAATTCGTTTTGGCTTGTCGTTTATGGCTTCTTATATTTTTAATTCGTGTTCTTTTCTAAATAGGCTACTGTTAAATTGAAATGATTTGTTGTTGAGAGAGGAGAACAAAAATAGCCTAGCTATGTTTACAGTGTTTATTATAAACAATGTTTGTAAACATTTCGCGTCGGCATTAGGCCTATTTCTGAATGAAATAATAAAATGCAACTTATACGCGACTTGTTTTTTTCTCTAAAAAAACAAAAAAAATGTATATGCGTAGCATATTTTAACCATGCAGCAAACCTTTTAAAATATTTTGATAAATTACTGGAAAAAAAATTAATAAATGACTTTTTAAACCGTTGAGTTCACTGATTGTATTAATCGGTCAAAATTCTTACGGTCGGTTAACGGTTAACCGGTTAAAATGAGCATCCCTAATCTGAGGTACCAGCTGTAAAGGCACAGCCCTATTCTGGAAAAGGGGGCAGGGAGCAGCAGCTCATTCGCATTTTAAGAGACATGCATGAAAACAGTCGGTTATGTCTGTGAAGGTAAACAGCTGGGAAAGAAATCGCATGTTTATATTAGATCTGTGTGGCAGCAGCGTAATATAGGCTACATGTATAAATCAATAAATCCACTGCTCTCTTGTCTCCTCTGAGGCTGGGACTCTAAAGAGTGTTCTGTACTCATCAGTGCAGCCAAAGAAAGAACAGTTAGCCCGCCATTTTAAATAACGAAGACTGCTTCAAACATCTGTTTTACTATATTTGTGAATACATTTACCCTCATAAGTACAGCCAAACCTGAACATGGACCCAAAGCTTATTCATAAAAGGCACAGTCACAATACAATTGAAATAAAGGATGGTAGTATAAAGAGCTCAAGGTTCAGCCTGTTAATAATTTGGACAAACTATCACACATCCCCTTCTAGCCCGCGCACACACAGCTAGATGTACGAAGCAAACAAAAGAGAGGACAAAGTGAACAGCAGTGGCTCTCGGCCCCCCTCCTTGGCATACTGCGTTGCCATGGCAGCAGCCTCACGCACTGCCGCAGCCGTCTCCATGCCAACGGCGGAGCTATAGCCTCACTGCGGGGATGAGCGGTGACTGCCGGCACCTGATGTCCGCATGCACATGCACAAACACACACTCTAATACATTAACACAAGCACACAAACCCACAGGAAAGACACACGGTGAGTTTTACACTCTCACAGGCACAAAACGCGTCACACATCTCTTGATTTCTCAGATTGAAGCCGCAGGTGTGTGTGTGTTTGTGTGTCATTCATCTCTGTTTGTCGCTGCCTCTCCATCTCCCCGAGCTCTGACTGATGCCCCTGCATGCAGAGTGTGTGCATATGAGCAATGGAGAAGCACTGCACACACACACTTTGCACATCCAGGACAGCAGTGTTAGTTTGTGAAGGACACAAGGGGATAAAAAAGAGAAAAAAGAGAAAAGGATGAGTGTAAATACCTCAAAAAACAACCTTTCTTTCTCTTAGAGGGAGGAAAAAGGCTGAGAGAGAGCACAGGGCTGATGGAAAAGAATGAGTTTTATTTGTAGTGCATTACTGAGGAAAGAGAGAAAGAAGAAAGGCAAAGAGAGTTCCAGAGAGGAGGAGAGAATAAGAGGAGGTGAGTGACAGTCATGGGCCACCTGA